GATGTAAATGAAGCCCGGTATAGTTGCTTCCTAGCGTTACCTCTGCATATAAATTTGACTTCCTATAGATCACTCTGAGGCGGTATACACTAGATCTAAAAGAGGCTGATTACTATGAATCACTATACAAAGACAGTCAAGCGGAATTTAATACGTTAAGTACCATGTTCTATGGATTTCCACTTGCTTCTGCTCCTTGGTTTCTGTAGCAGAATTCTATTATTGACTGTGCCATGTACATTTCTGTTTGCAGGTATATTCAGACTGGGACATTGAGAAATAACTATGAACATATATGTGATCTTCTCACCCGTTTGAGGCAGGTTAGTGGCATTTACAGTTCTCTGGTTCAAGTAACTACCCAATGCCTTTTCAGATAATGTAGATGTGTATGTTTGTGAAGCAATGGCCTTGGTTTATTTCATCTTGTTCTCAATCATGTTTGTTCTCGACTTATAGGTTCATGACTTTTTGTCCCTCTGTGTGTTTTAAGGTGTTATAGGTCACTAGACAGCAGCTTCCTGGTTTGTTTCAGAGCTGTGGACATGTTGAAAAAATCTTATTCATGAGAAAAGTGAGGAAGAAAAGAATCAACAAAGAGTGAAGACGGATTTCTAAAAAAACAAAAAGAGTAAAGACAGAGAAAAGAAGCAATGAAAGCTCGATAACCAAGTCCCTTCTGGCCTTTTGGCTAAAGCTACGAGCAAATATTGTATCGTAAAGAATATCCTTCTCTGTCATCTTTCTATTGTCTCTTAAGTTACACATAGCGTGTTCTTTCTTGTGCCGTAAGAAAACTCGCGAAACGGAGTTTGACTCGCTAATGTAAAGAGATTATTGAATGAATGTGCCGGAGAAAGTTGTGTGAAGTATTTAGGACTTTGTACTATACGATTTTGGTCGTGTTCAATGATTGTTTCTGTAAATGTCGGGATTTTAAGACATGCTCAAGAAGAGAAGTTTTATTAGGTGGTGAAGATCAAAGATTTAAAAAGTAGTATTAGTGTATCATTAAAAGAAG